TTACGTATTTACGAAGAGTAACGATCGTTTGTGGAGGATGTTTGATCGGCTGGATGCCGCTGTTCTAGGAATGGTGAGTTGGCGCATGCTGTGTTGCTTTCCCGGCGAGATTTTATCCATCACCATCAAAGAATGCAAGCGACTAATTGTACTTCACAGAACACCGTCTGCTTGGTGACGGAAACGCCCGTACCTGCTTCAAATAACGGGAACGGATACACACCAGCACAAGCTACGGCCTTGGATGAGTTTCTCGTTACAAAGGGTGCCGCGATGTCTCCTTCGTAGCCTCTTGTTATTTTTTGGAACCAGTGTAGGATATTGCGATCGCCTTCTCTGTTTCCTTGTCTTGACACACAGATTAGAGCTACTGGATCAAGTCGTGGAGTTGAGGTGTTGGACACGTGTGGTTTTGTTAATGAGGGCATGTTCGTCGAAGCTTCTTGTGTGGTATAAACAAGTACGCGGCTCGGGTATTAAAAGAATGATTTATGACGCTGCAACTATCTTGGCGCACTCGTGTCCTTTATGTATCCCAAAGTAGCCATCCGATGTGTCTTTCGGTGTGCTCAATCGCGAAATAGTGTGTGATGACTTTCGTGTTACAATGAAGCCGAACGAACTTAAGGCGATAGAGAAACTATGAAGGACTTGGGGAATAGCGGAATCTGAACTGTATGAGCCGTACATGGTATAGTGAGGCCTGTATTACGAACCTACTCGACAGCAGTAACTTGTTTGCAAGCCCGCATACTAAGGTACTTTTGTCACCAACTTGCGTATATCACGGAATATGGAATCCCACTCCAAAAGTGCGTCATGGGCTCACCATGTCTAAATCAAGATGATGATTCGAAAAGGAAGTGTGATCCTAAGATGATTGTCGATGTACTAGCCATGGACGCAGTATCTGGGTGAAGAGATGCCTGAAAGACGGTATGTCATAACCCAACCTTCCGATTCATCCACGCTATGAGAAGACAGCCTCGTCCGCTCCCTTTTCAGTAGCAACTACCCTTACTACTTCTACTGCATTAAATATTACTTATCAATGCAGAGTAAACGATCAGATTCAAACACGGACAATCAAAAGCTTCAAAAAAACGGTGATTTTGGTGATGATAAGAGTCGTATAAGTTTACACTTAGTGCTTGTAAGAAAGAAAACTGTTGTTTTATGCCTACAAGGTATGATAGAAAGTACACTGAACTCTGGAAACATATCGTAGCATGGCTGAGAGTTAAGATTACGAGGGTTCATGAACATCATGGATGACAGGCCCTTTAGCTAGTCCGCATTCCATACAACAGAATTTGCTTCCCGTTTCCATATCTAGATGAGAACACCGCGTAGTGGATAAACCGCCATGTTCAAAAGGTATTCTCGCTCGCGTTGAATCATATGGAAAGGACGGTAGTAGACCTGTAGTAAACATAAATATATTCACATTCGGTATATCACGTGGATTCCTCCTGCCTCCTACCGTCAACTTCCCGTGGACTCCACGGGAACCATGAACACAAGGAAACGAATTACTACACCGGGAGGCTCATATAGGTCCCGTAAGGTCCAATCCCGTCACCGACAGCAGCAGGCGCCTCACAGGCCTGTGAGGTCAGGTCAAACTGCCGTTTGGCGGGATGGTTACGGGCGAGCCTAGTCAACTGGCTTAGCCTATACTAGATTCCAGGTTCGAGTCCCAGCATGAGCACCAGAGATGTAGCCCCCGTTCGCCATCGGGGGGGGGGGGTGGCGGGTGTGTGAACTTTTTTGACTCTTCTGGCCTTTATTTTTTATTTTTTGCCCTCTTGCCAATACACCGGAATATACAGGCGTGAGATGGGCTAGGCATAATTCACCTCGGAAAATCTCAACAACAGCAAGAAAGGGAAAGTTGCCCAGAATACAAAGATATTGATAACCCAATCCTGAGAGCAGATTTAGCGGGCTACATACATATAGCTTGTGGGTTCAAATCCCACAGGCGCCTTCTTTTGTACATCTTCCTGATATTATTTGATGCTCCTTAACCACTTTTGGTACTACATTGTGCTTGCAAGCTGTGATATATCTGTCTCAGCGTGTCTCGTGAAGTGCCTTCTCGTCTTTGCCCCTGGCGCACATGATTGAGCATGGTACAGGTCATAACGACCTGCGACCTCTATTGATTCAGAAATAGAAACAGATTGACGGCATTTCTAATAGCCCATGGTCTGGGCCCAGAGAAAGCAGGATGGGTGTGCGTACCCATCTCCAGGATAATCGAATCCCAGGGAAACTACATTACCACATCAGAATACTCGTTACGTCATTTAAGGCCATGTTTGATGGTCAAACGATGAATCCTAAGTCTTCATGAAGTATGCTCATTGCCGTGCAAATTCCTATAACGGTCCAAAGTCACGTACACACGTCGTTTTGAAGAAATAAATTTTAATGCAAGCTAACATCGTTACTCGAAATGGCTCAGGGTTGCAGACATATCCGTATACCAAAAAGGCTACAGTGATCGGTACAAGATATATGTACAGATAGGCATGGCGACTAAAGGGAGATTGGTGGACGCAAGAACTCCAATGGCACATTTGATATTTATGTATTGATTGAAATGATGAAGCCCTCTTTACCAAGCCACCCAAACTCCACTTTTGATGCACAGCGTACGAGATAATTCTACCACATATTGACTACTTACAACCCCAGGTCTTCCATCTCTTTAATCTACATATCCTTGGAGCGCATCTTCTTGAGACGCAGTCCACCCTCAAAGACACCGCGGTCAACGGCGGCGGCGACGGTGAGAGTGCCGCCAATGATGGCGCAAAGGCCGGTCAAGAAACCAGTAAAGGTCTTGGCGCGCTCTTCGCGGTTGATGACCTTCATGGGAGAAATATCCTGGACACAATCGTGTGAGTGATGGGAGTTGAGGACATGGATATGGACGAACTTACGTAGGAAAAGAAGACTCCCGGGATACCGCCACGAGAGTGGAGGCGTTCCTGGTGTCCCTCGGCAGAGTCATCGCCGCCAGCCAAGCTGCGCTTGTGGCTCGTGACGGAGTACTGGTGAGTCTCGACGCTGCCGTCGCTTCCCTGCCCAAGAAGACCAAGGCCAGAATTCTCCTCCTCAGGGCTGGAGCCCTTTTGCCAGTTGAGAGCGAGGTAGGAGGTAGGTACGATCTTGACAAAATACATGAAGTTGTAGTTGGGGTCGTTGGTCTCCTGGTGGGTGTTGTCGAGAGGGTTACCGTGGTGGTTCGTCCACGCAGCGGCGCGCTTGCCCATCTTCTTGGTGACGGTGTCAGGCAGCTGGGGGCCGAAGCGTAGAGAGTGAACGGTGTGGGTGAAGTCGTGCTGGGCATCGGAGGGGGTGTCCCAGTAGTTCTTGAGGTCGTGGACGTGCATGTTTCCGTTGCTGAAGCTGCGGCCAGGGGCAAGGTGGAAGTTTCCGACAACCTTGTTGACCCGCAGGTTACCCTCGATACGGCAGCCCTCCTGGCGTTGCTCCTCCAATCGCTCGGCGTAGTGCTCGCGGGTGCACTGCTCGACGTTCTCGCCCTTACCGAAAGCCCACGAAGCCTGCGCGTACGCCTCTCTGACTTCCTCGCAGGTGTTGCAGCATCCGGCCTTTTGCGCGTTCGCTGGTGACGGAGCACCATAACAGGGTCCGCAGTAGTTGGGATCCAGGTGCTCAGCGGCCTCGTCGCGAGAGTGACTGGCGGAAGGTGTTAGAAGCAGCTCCCCAGCAGAAGGCGACGTTTGTAGCAACTTACAGATCCAGGGCCTTGATGTCAATGACACCACCGCCCTCCTTTTGGGGACGAAGGCGAACCTTGTTAATACCGTGCTGAACGCCGTGCTGTTGCTCGCCAGAGACATCCATGACGTCCAGGGTAAGGAGCTCGCAGGGCATCTTGGGGAAAGTCATGTTGAGATGGATCTCCATGCGCTCGCCTATGACCGGATACAAATTAGCTCCTACTGCTCACACAGACTCAGAGAGATAACCAGGGCTTCATACCTCTTCCCTTGTCCACGATCAACTCGGGGTGGATCTCTATCCTCCGGTAGTCAACCCATTCTCCCCAGGCCAGCCAGAAGACCACAATCAGCGACACGATAGTGACAATTCCACCAGACGTTGTGCGGATGCGTGCTTCGTCGACTGTCTTTGTAAAGGCGTCGAGCCTTGTGAATCTCGATTTTGCCGGCATAGTGAGTTCGGGAGGAGGTGTGTGTTATCAAGAGCTGCCGATCTCTATCGCGGGTTTGCGGTAGCCTCGTAAACGTTGTGGGAAGAATCAACGGGAGTAGGCCTAAAGTCGTACTTTCGCAACAATGCGCCAAGCAGAAAAACGCTAAAAGGAGTGGCGGAGAGGTAAAAGGTGATATCAGGAAGTGAGAGACCCCGCCTGAACCATGAGAAGAGAAGGGTCGACGCGATAAAGTCGAGTTGGGAGCAAGGTAGGAGGGTTGGATCTCACAAAGCCTTGGGAGTTGCGCAAATCCAAAGTAAAGTAGAGGCCACCTTCACTCGTTTTCTGGCCACGCAGCCCGTCCACGGTCCAGCTCTCAATTGCGCTAAAGGTGCATCTCGTCAGGGGTCTCGCACGGGGCGGGTGGGTCCGGGTCACTGGGTAATTGTCGGCCGTTGGCCAATGGAAGATGCCGTTAGACCACTAGAAGCAATTTAGAATCAGATGGCTCGTGCTTAAGCTGCGCGGTTCCCGTCCCCACTGTAAAATCCCAGCCTGGCAGTCAAGGCTGGGAAATGCAGTGCTTTCTGATCCAAGAGGCAACCTCCAAGAAATCATCACAGTTGCGCCACCTTTCGACCAAATCAAATTGATACCCACGACATCTTGAATCGAGGAATTGATATCGAAACAAGACGAGATTGCGCCTTTTCCTACGAACGCGATACCCAGCGTTCCTTTGACCGCCTTGTCGAGCGTGTACTGAGCGAGTCTTGCATTCCAACCATCGAACCTGAATACCGCGATGTCGAAGCCACCTTCCAGAGTTGTCTTCGTGGGCAACATTCCCTATGGTAGGCAAGAACCTCCCACAATAATCTATGTATCTAATCAATTGTTCTAGGCCTTTCCGAGGAGCAGATCAGCGACATCTTCAGCAGCGCCGGCAAGGTCCTCAACTTCCGCCTAGTCTACGACCGCGAAACCGGACGACCCAAGGGTTTCGGCTTCGCAGAATATCCAGACAATGGTATTTCTCAGGAGAACCCTACTGTAGTTCACATACAGACTTGACTGACCTTGCGGCGCAGACTCCGCGGCATCGGCTGTCCGCAACCTGAACGACTATGAGATCATGGGAAGGAAACTCAGGGTCGACTTTTCCAATGAAGGCGGCAGTGACGACAACAATGATAGCCACGGACACGTGCGTATAGAGATACAGCCCGGTATTTGAAGTTGGAATCTGACAATGGAAACAGGGCCGAGATGGCGGCAACCCCTCCCACGCTTCGAACGGATACAACCCTGTCGCGCCGCCGATGCAGTCGAGTACGCTGCCTCCTCTCCCAGCCGGCAAGGAGCTCCCCCCAAATGTCACAGCAACCGACGCCATCTCACGGACTCTCAACACCCTCCCCCCGTCTCAACTTCTCGATATCCTCACACAGATGAAGGCACTGGCCTCTACCGACCCCGCCAGAGCCACGGAACTTCTCCAACAGGCACCACAACTGGCATACGCCGTCTTCCAGGCCCTGCTGCTCATGGGTCTGGTATCTCCTGAGGCGATCCACTCCGTCATCGAACCCGGCGGCGCTCCCGTTGCGCCCCCAGCCCAGGCGGCGCCGATCGGCTACCCGCCCCAGCCCACCCCCGGCTTCCCGCCGGTTCCCGTCATGGGAGCTAACAACACCCCGCCCGTCGCCGGCACGCCGTACGCGCCTCCTCCGCAGCAAGCTCCCTACGGCGCACCTCCGCCGGTTGCCGCACCCCTCGGTCAGGATCCCGACGCGCTCATGCGGCAGGTTATGGAACTGCCGATGGAGACGATCAACATGCTCCCCGAGGCAGAGAGACAACAGATCCTGGCGCTTCGCGCAAGCTTTGGTGGACAAAGGCGATGAGCATGCTATACCTGTCTCATATATGTGCAAGCTGTGGTGTTCAGTTTACGAGCTTGACGTCGCCTGGAGCAACTCAAGTACTATCTTTGGGCAGACACGTCACTCTGGCCGATGATAAAGACTTGAGATCGAGAAGATGTGGGGTTTCCTCCCCCACGTCTTCAGGTTCCATACTCATTCCAACCATCCGACGTGGCTCATAGTAACGGAACGGAACCTTGCGAATGTTGCTGCTTCGTGAGCAAAGAGGCTCATACGAAGCTATTCTTAGAGGAGAAAGCTACCCTTAGAGGGGTCAGGTGAGGGGCTCAACGGGGCCTCTTGTCAATGGGGCCTATGCCATACAATTGCCCCTCCAACAACCACTCACTCTACTTTACTCACCAAAATCATCACCAAGCGACTTATTACCTATTATCTGGCATCTGAGCCTCGGTCGACCTAAAAAACTACGGGCGTGTGGGGAGGTCGGAAGGTGGCGTTGAACGATGGATGGCGTATTTTTTGCAGCTGCGCCTCTCTTCCCGGAGGGCCCAGGAAATGAGGGGCCGATTTGCAGCAATGGCGGGGCCGATAGGTCTTTTTTTGTGTTTTCTAGCAACCAAGTTTTTTTTTCTTCTAGAGTGCGGACGAGGCAGATCACGAGGAACAAAAAACGGCCAAGTCTAAATATACCACACTTTACAACCGAAAACGAGCTGAGCATCTTGTTCAGCTGAAAAAAAAAAGCTTGTTTCCTTTCCGCTGTGCCGTTGACGCAAGCTTGATGTTGTGGCGGGAGGCAAAGTTGACGACGTGACCGACCTGGCCAACTAACAATGGGTGCCGACTTTTTGCTGCGGCTCATGGAAAATGCGACGTTAAGGGCAAGGTACTCTGGGAAGGTAGGACAATTATAGCACATCTTTGCCACGACCTTCAGCTGTAAAACAGACAAGATAACTTTGTAAACGGTCTCAGTTCACAGTCCTCCATCCGTCTTAAACGGCGTCTGGCTTTAATACCCTTCGTAAAGAGACATACCACGATTTTTTTTTTAAAAAAAAAAGACACCGGGACGAAGTTTTTTTTTGGGGGGGGGAGTGATGTATCTGATACTGACAAGCAACTCTAAATGGCAAAGAAGAAAGATGCCTTGTGAGACGACTGGAGAAGCTGGGTTTCAAGATGCCTACAGAAACAGGTTTCCACTGATAGGACATGATGCATAACTGTACGGGAATACTGCTATAGAATGCTGGCAAAGGTTGGCGAGATGGCAAACTGAGTTTTGACTTTACTCAAAGTGCCTCATGCATCGCATACTGGCCGAGGTATATGACGGGGACCAACGGGGAAGTTTTACATCAGACATTTGACAGCGAATATTTTCAACTACACAAGGTCTCATTCGCCGCCGCCGCCGCCACGTAAATGGCTGCACTCAAGATGGAGGGGAGGGGAGGGGGGTGATATCATGTTTCTGTGGCAGTTATCACTATGCGCGCCACAGTGAGTTGTGACCAGACGAGACAACTTCATGCCGCCAAGGAAGAGGCTTGCTTTGTGTGTAATGTGATTTGGGCTGCGATTCGGTGGGATAGATCGGAAGTTAGAACGGGGGGGCCCATCCTGTCGAAGTACCTACTGTGGTACATAGGTGTGGCTTGGTCACCTTGGCCGGAATGGCGGGAATTGGCAAGAGCAAAAAAAAAAAAAAAAAAAACAAGATGGGACGAGATGCGCTGAAGTTTGAACGACGTTGGACGGAGGGAATTGCAGTGAAGTTCTAGACCTCCACTCCTTTCACGATTGACGACGTCCATCGCTAGCACTTAGTTCGCCACTCCAACACCACCCGCCGCATCGCGGCCGTGTTCGATGCGTGCTCGAGCCACGCGAGCAGTCAACCTTCGTATTGGGAAAAAAAAAGGTGTCCAATAAATGTGGTGCTCTGTGGGTGGCCCCATTCGTGCATCTGAGTCGGGCGCGAAACAAGCCACTTGTCTCACAGAAGCTAAAAGTCCATCGGGAGGGTAACGTCGTTCCTGAATCTTTTGCACTTTGCGTGCAGGGGATTGTGGAGGAGGACGGAGAAGAAGAGGAAAAAAAAATGGGGGAAGGGGGAGTACTTTTTTGTCAGAGAATGTCAATGGGCAGAACATTCGAGTCCGCTGTGAATGCATCGTGGGAGCCAAGTCCCAGATCTCCTTATGCATTCGTACCACACTATTGCGTGGCAAGAGGAGGAGAAAATGACGACCCTTTAGAAAAGAAATGATTATTTTACTCACATGGCGGAAGCTGCAAGTTGGGGGAGTCTTTACGTCCCATCATTGGTCGCGACCACATAAACCGTTAAAATGGGTTCATCTGAGGGCACCCCAATTGCAACGAATGAACGAACGGCAGAGACACCGACAGAAGGGATGATGGCCGCAGGCTGAAACGAACTGACAGGTTGATATGCATACACGGTATAGTACCGTAAGTCTGATGGTTGTTGAAAGTTGCCAGTGACGTTGGGTTGTGAATGAGGAGCATGGATATAACCGAAAACCCGGATACTCAGGTAGAGACCGCGGTTGGCAACGAAGGGACCGCGCATCTTTGCGTATTCTTCGCATCTATTGCAGAGGTCGCCGTCAACTGAAGTGTGCTCGGTAATTGGCGCATCGTCACGGGTGTTTTTAGGTGTTTGTTGACGCGGCCTCCAGGATCGACGTGGGAGTGAGCCGCCGTGTAATTTCCCCAGCCGAAAGAAGGTTGAGTTTTGTAAATTTCCCGTCCTTGAATTGGCAGTCCATGCAGGTCATATGTTGGCAGAGAAATTTTCGAGGTGTAATACTCCGTACTCCGTACCGTCTTGGGCAGTCTTCCTTCTTGATTCTTGCCGGGGAAACAAAAAGAAGGGTCCCGGACCATGCCCCATAGACCGTAGGGAGGCTATTGGCAATTGCAGCGGCACTGCATGTTGCAACGTCGCACTAATAAGGTTGTATGTATCCATAGGAAGAAGGTCGTAATGAGCGCGGTCCCCAAATGGCACATGTCTTAGCTACTGCAAGGTACTCCGTACGGATAGGGAGCAATATCGAGTACTAAAATAGGCGGGAAAGCAATTCAAAAGTTCAAAAGAAGGTTTTCCGACGATGCTTCGTACTCTGTTGGGTCATGGGACGAGCCAATGAAACGCGGGGATGACTTCCCAATCCAGGGGCATCACGCTGCAGAGAGCGGGAAGCGAAATAATTAGAGCCCGCTCGGTGTGGAGGAAAAAGGAGGGCAGGCGGCAGGCGTGACATGTGCCATGTGGGATTCGAGAGAAAATTGGGAGGGAAATAAATGATGCCGACAGGCTTGGAGCGGATATGAGAGGGGATGCTGTCGTCCGTGAGGCCATCGTCGATTCGTCATGTGCGACCTATTGGTTTCTACTTTGATTGTTTATGTTGTTCTGGACCGTCGCTCCGTGGCATGTGGCTCCGTTTCTATTGGGGGGGGGGGGAATTGCCATTTGCTTTATTTTGGCGTCCGTTCCTTTGTTGTTGATGGGGCTGCTTGCTGGGAAGTTGCTGCTCAAGCCCTTCTAGCATCCAGGTCGAACCGTCAAAGACCCAAGGGTGCGTTCCATTGTGGTTCTCCCGTTGACGAGTGATTCGCGAATGGACGGGACCGACGATCAAGACGACACATCGCCATGTCTCGTTGATGGAGGATGCTCCGTAGCAGCTCCGTAAATCTGGAGCTGGCGCCCGTTAGTGTAAACGGTTGGGCAGGGTATTTTGATTCTTAGGTAGGTACTGAACGGTGGGCCTTGCCCAGTAATCTCCATCGTGGACATGGACAGTCGTCGCACAACAACGTTTTGCACCGCAACGAAGCGGATAGCTGTTTGTGCATAATAGCGCCCGGCCGTCTTGGTAAGGTAGGCCGAGAAACGGCGGGGAAGAGAAGTCGGAGAGAGTCGAGAGCATAGGTTGGAGAAGACAAGAACAGAGTTGTGTGGTGTTACGCCAGGTGTTGATCACTCGATGAACGGTCCAGATTTCTGGCGCAGCGTCTTCTAGCCTGGGTCTTCGCCCGTGTTAGTGCCGCACAATGTTGCTAAAGTTAGGTCTCCTGGCCATCCGCTAATAAGGAAATGGAATGGAATGACGAGAAACGCACTTCAGTCCGGGGCAGCGTGCGGATACCTCGTATGCACTATTCTTTCCCTCTAACTCACATACGAAGTAGTGCTCAGTGCCTCAGCAAAGCCCGGGCATGGGAAGAGCTCCGTCAGGGACTCAGGTCCAAGACAGCTCAGAAGAAAGCTGAGTCGAGGATGCCGCTAGAACAGCTCTTGCTAAGATGGGCAGTGATGAGCGACACCTGAAGCCTGGAGCCTGAGGGAAGAGGCTGTTGCGCTTCCTACCAACGTGCCCAGCTGTTAACGTTCCTCCCCTCCCGCCCGGGAATGCCTTTGGTGCTTAGGTAAAGTAGGTAGGTTGATGGCTGGGCTATTCTGGGCGATTGTTATTGCTGCAGGAACTGTACTCTAAACCGGGAAGAACGAGAAGGAAGCGGCAGTGGAAGCGGGAATGACCAGTGACAGGGCCGTTACCTCCAGGTTGAAAGCGGTTGCTTCCTACCTATTCCAACTTCTAGCCAACACAGACTCGGGAAGGTACGAACCGAATAGGTACCTTACCTGCCAACTCACACCAACAAAAGACTGCGATTGATTCTAAGGTAAGGTAGGTAACTTCCATGTTGAAGAAGGAAAGGCCCTCTTTTGGTCTTTCTCCCTCCATTTGGTGTGGCAAGCAGCGACACGAGATCATCGCCTCATACCAAGGTGCGAAAAGGAAGCGCAGCTTGGGTACCGAAGATGGTTGTGCCCTTTACCGTTATGCATGTCAAAGCAAGGCCACCTGATGTGCTCTACGATCTACACCCACCGCATCTTACATCATGGCAACGAAGGACAAAAACTCATGAAATAAGGTACAGACAGGCGCAGAGACGAGAGGCACGGA